AGCACGACTAGCAATCATATTTGTCAGCATGCAGAGACATTTTAATAATTGGTTTATTATATGCTCAGAGCAGAGTCTCATATTACACAAAAACCAGTTTAGAAATGAGTAATGTTTCTGTAAGTGTTACTTACATACAATCAGGATGGACATAGTAGGAATTTTATAGAGAGAAGGTAAAAATGTATACATCAAAGACTAGATAGAAGAAGGGGAAGATATACATCAGGTAAATTAATAAACTGATCAGCAAATACTGGAGCTAAAGCTACTGTCTCAAGCTGGAATTTTGAAAACAGAGCAGGAACTGACCAGATAGAGTCAAAGTTGTAACTGATGTCTGAGCTTAATGAAGTAGGTATACTAAAGGTGAGACAGAAACTCTTCTATCACTAAGCTGAGCCAAAGTTTCACATCTCTGCTAAATTCTTCAAGCTCCAGCCTGTTACTGTCTCAGGCAAAATAGCAGCTATGTTAAAATTCTCTCAGGACACTGGTTATGTAACGGTGACTTTGGGGAAACTACTCCCTACTTGTGATCAGTGCTTGGATATCAGCCATCAATGTAACATGGGTTGTGAAAGGCAAAAATGCAAGCTAATTCTTTGCAGTGGAATATTTTTCTATCCTGTATAAAATAGAATGTTAGATTAGGTCAGGTCAGGTCAGGTCAGAACTCCCATTCTTGTCCTAAAGTTGTCACAAACTGCTACAACTAAAAGCAGATAGTGTTCCCCCCCCCCCAAAAGTTTACAAGGCAATAGAACAGGATTCAAGTAAGTTTCTAAGTATTTAGATGTGTAATATTTTGGAGTTCGTTGTGAGAGGAGTCATCAAATTGGGATGGACTAGTTGCCTGGATTATTTTACTTTAAACTGCTATCATTAGTTTGTTTTCATTACAATCTAACCTCATAAACATTTGTAACCAGTTTCCATTTCCTGGCTTTAAATCCTCTTTTAGCAACATGTAGTATAGTCAAAAAGCCCCAGATTTGGAGTCAAAAGAATTGGGTTCAAGTCTTACCTCTGATTGCTTACCACCTTACTTACCTCTGTCACTTAATCTCTCTAAGCCTCACCTGATTTTCAAAATGAGGAGTCTGGACCATGTGGTGGTGGTGATTTTAATGATCATAATTGTTCTAATACTTAAAGTTTTACAAAATCCTTTATACCCATGATCTCACTGTATCTTCATAATAAGTCTTTGAGGAATGCTGTCATTCATTTGAAGAGGACCACTTAACATCAAGGATGATTTAAGTGAAGCAGAGTGGCCCAAAGTCATCAGCTTCACTTTTGCTTCCAGAGTCATAGAAGTCCAGTGGCAAGACAACTATTATTTTCCCCATTAAATAGGTGAGGATACCAAGGCTGAGAGAATGACTTGCCTATGGTTACACAGCTAGTGTTTGAGGTAAGGTTCCAATCTGCACTTCCTAATGTCAAGTCTGTCCACTACAGTGACCAGTGAACCAGAGGTTCCTCCTGGGGGTGCTGGAACGATCCAGGGCAGGCAGTAGTAGTCTTGCATACTATTGGGGGGTGTTGAATAAAAATAAAGGGGTGATGGAAGCATAAAGAAAAGAAAGAAGAGAAGAAAGAAATCTTTGAAGAACCATTTGTACATGTTTCATCTGTTGTGTGACAGAGTTAAAGTTGTAGTGATTACGTTTTTTTTTTCCCAAATAAGCACACAAAATGCAAGTTATAACTGCTCAGTGGTCAAGTCTTCCTACAGATCTAACAAGCAAGTATTGGCTAGCAAATGTGTTGTTCATTGTCAGGAAAGCCAGCATGCATGGGCAAGAATGCGTGTGTGTAATGACTTGTTTACAATATGGCACTATGTAGTTACATGATGCAATATTGAGTAGTCAAAATTTCAATGTAGGAAAAACCCCACAAATTTACAATAAATTACTAAATTTAAGATACCTTACTAAAAAAAGTTTTATGTTTTTTTTTTGAAATGACATGCCCATGGGGACGCTGAGTAATTTTTTTTTTTTTGAAAAGGGGTCAGTAGGCCAAATAAGTTTGGGAACCACTGCATTATGCTGCCTCTTCATAGATTATGTCTAAGGTCTTTTTTTCAGCAATAAATTTTATGATCTCTTAGGGTTCTAGGTGCTTGATTTTGAACTCACAAAAAGAAGATAACAATGCCTTCTTCAGCCTGAATAGAAAGCTTCTATTGGGTGAATTAAGGAATTTACTTAGGAACAAGTAAGCTTAGCTTCTCTTCTGCTTTAAACAGTGTGTGTTCTTTTAATGATAATCACTGGACATGATTGCTTGAAGCAGGGAAGAGAATATTACACTTTCATTGCTACAACAAAAGCCATTTAAATTAAGGATAAGCTTTGAAATGTTTCAGATATGACAGATCTTACCCTAGATCCTAAATGCCTGATGTCAGGCAAGGTAATTCACTGGAATTTTGGGTGCTGTTGCTCACTCCAAGTTCATTCCCAATTTCAGAGAGTCACATGCTAGGGACTAGACATGGAGCATTTCCTGCCCAAGTTTTTCATTTTTCCACCTAGGTGGTTGCAGGATTTGGGATGGGTTCTTGACATATCCAGATAATAATATCAAAAATAATAATAGCTAACGTACAACACATACATTGTGCTTTACAATTATCATCCCATTTGATCCTTACAAAAACCCTGGGAGGTAGATGCTATTATCCCCATTTTACAGATGGGGAAACAGGCAATCAGGTCATGTGACATGCCCAGGGTCACATAGCTAGTCAGTGTCTGGGGGCAAATTTGAATTTAGGGATTCCTAATTCCGGGTCCTGCTTTCTGTGCACAGCACCAACTGAGAAATTGAAGGTGGGATGGATTCCCATGGGGTGGGTGTTACCCTCTGTGAGGAGAGTAGTGTGGCTTCCAGGGGAAATCATCCTACTGGGGGACTGGTGAAAGATCTACAGGAAATTTCCCCACCTAGTTTGGGGAAGGTCAAGGGTTTTCCACAAGCTGCTTCCTTACACTTATTGTGGATGGATGTGTCTTAATACTGTTATGGGGAAATACCCCCTCTCTGAGTTCATGTGGCAGGTTTCTTTTTTAAGTTGTTTAGTCATGTCCCACTCTTTGTGACCCCATTCGGAGTTTTCTCGGTAAAGATATTGGAGTGGTTTGCCATTTCCTTCTTCAGCTCCTTTCACAGATGAGGAAACCAAGGCAAAGAGGGTTAAAGAAAGTGTCTAAGGCTGGATTTGAACTCAGGTCCTCCTGACATTAGGGCTAGTGCTCTACCCACTGTACTACTGCATTACGTGGTAGGTAACTACTGCTAAATATACATTTACCACCTCATAGAAATTATAGAGGTAAAAACCTAGATTTGGGGGCTAGGTATCACAGTGGATAGAGTCAGGCCCTGGAGTCAGGGGGACCTGAGTTCAAATCTGGCCTTGAGGCACTTACTAGCTGTGTGACCCTAGGCAAGTCACAACCCCAATTGCGTCAAAAAAAAAACCCCTAAGAAATTTAATTATTATTATGCTTAAGCACAGATTATACCTGAACAATTATTAGGATTCTAAACACACTTCTTATAGGTAAAGTTACAGCAGTGACAGAGAAATAATTCTTTTACAAATTTTAATCAAAGCCTATGCTTCCTTCAATGTCATAAAAATTGAACAAAATTAGGTAAACAGGCTCATGACATCATACATCCCCTAAGGAAATAAACCTCAGTAAACCAACTCTCCAGGTAAACTAAGTCAGGTACAGATTAGAGCATTCACAGCCTGATGGAGGAGGAGAATCTACATGTCACCACAGAGGCTGTTGCTGTTTGTCCTTTGTTCTCCAAGAGGACCATGAAGTGAGTGAGGTGATGCCAAGACAAGCAAGTGAATTGGATTTAAGTGAGGGAGGGCTGTGCACAGTCACCAGCCTCATTTTCTCCTCTGGAGCCATCTGGGTCCAGTAGCAAGATATAGATCAGGATGACTGGAGATGGTCCTGGGTGCAGTGGAAGACCTTAGCCTTTTTAAGCTAAGGTTTTTAACATATCTCAGTTTGACTAAAACAACACCTATTCAGTGATTAAGGCTAGGTTAGAAAGTCTTTAATATATCTCAGTTTGAGGCAACACCCATTCAGTGATTAAGACTAGCCTAGAATGTGTTTAACAGATCTCAGTTTGAGACAACACCCATTCAGTGATTAAGGCTAATTTAGATATTTAACAGATCTCACTTTGACTGAGGCAATACCCATTTAGTGGCTAAGACTAGGTTAGAAAGTCTTTAACAGGTCTCAGTTTTGTTGCTGCAACTAGATAGTACACCAAATGGAAAGGCGAGAAATAAATGTGAGATGTGGGCCAGGCAAAGCAGAAGAGACTGACTCAGTTTATTCATCTAAGGGTACAGGATATATATAGAAAATCTATCCTAACTTCAAAGGGTGCTCATTATCTTGATTAGTGGCATTTCTTTTGTTATCTTTTTGTTTTATGGGCCTCTGTTGTTAAGATATTACCTTGTTATGACACTCTCTTGTTTTGTGACATTCCCCCGTTTATGGTTGACAGAAACCAGACTTGCTGGGGCTACTTTCTTGTTCTATGGAACTTAATTTTGGCTGAGAAAAGACACAGGCATCCTGAGTTAGGTGAGGAGGGAGAAGGGAACACTTCTTTACTCTATGGGTATATAATCTCCTTCAACTCACCCTTTTTTTGAACTCAGTTCAACTGCAGTTCCAGTGCATGGATGCCTGCACGCTGCCCACTTTGAGAGAAACAGACTGGCATGCAACCTAATTGGGCTGTCTTTCTTTTCTTAGACAGAACTCTGGAGGTTGACAATAGTCACTCAGCATTCCAGTTACCAGGAGAAAGGAAAGGAGGAGCAGGTGGGGCTTACTGCTCTGCCAATTTCTTAGGGATATTATGTCTTCTTTATCATTGACTCAGGAACTCAATCAAGCCCACTGACCAAAAGAGCTTTAGATTGTTGAGGATGTAAAGAGTCACATTTCAGGGTCATGGAGGGGAGGGAATATGTTGGTAGGGTGACTCTCATGCCTGGAATACTGTTCCTCTTCATCTCTACCTCCTGGATTCTGCCTTATTTTGTCCTTAAGTGGACCTCAAAATGGTGCTGGTTGTAGGGCAGCTTCTTCAGCATTTGACATAGTTTTAGCAGGTTGGGATGAGAGAAGGCAGCCTCGTGGCTCACATCATGATGGAGTTGAGGGAAGAACCCTGAAAATAAAGAGGAGACTAGGTTAATCAGATGGGGGTGGGAGGACATTTCATGGCTCTCTATCACCAGAAAGCCCTCTTGATCAAGTATGGGGAGTCCTCTCTCTAGGACTGGAGCAGGCTCCCACTCAGGCTGAGGGATTAGGTCAATAGGTGTAGCAGGAGACTGTCTGGGAGGATAGAGAAACTGCTAAAGCCAACATTCCCTGGCTGTTGGCTTTTTGACAGAAATTGGGCTCCAGCATAGTAAGACTGAAAGTAAACTAAGTCAGTAGATTCAGCAGTTAGAGGCTTTCTGAGATCTCAAAATGAAAGGGGAGGGCAGCTAATGGAGCCACTTAAATGAATGGTTCTCTTCTGAAGGAATACTAACAGGTTCCAGTGAGTAAACTACCCTGTGATCTGTGACCCAAGATGATGATTCTGCTGGGATTAGAATCCTGAGGCTGGAGGAGAGCAGATGTGGTAAAGACAGGAGAGCTCCCAGTAGTGTTGAGAAAGTGCTGCTAGGCTTATCCCATCATTGCTTGTGGAAGAGGATGGTTGTAGAAGTTCAAACTGAAACCTGAGGAGTCTCTGGAAGGATGGTTCCCAAGGGCATGATCTAGTGGAGAAATGCTGAGAGGCTCTCAGTACAGGACTTCCATAGCCTAGAGGCTCTCTGAGGATATACATTTACAGAGCCAACTAAATTTATTAGAAACTCCAGAGAGTGAATACTTTTTGTCCCTTTTTAGGTAACTGAGATGGGGAGTTATGTGGACCTCACCTCATAAAGATGAATTCCCGGTTGCAGTCAGCTTGCTAGTGGGCATGTGGATGGATGGGAACGAAGTTCCTAAAGGAAGTGGATTTGAAAGATTAGATTTATGCACACTTCACCCCACCACCTGCCCTCTAGCCTGGCACATCTTATGTTTAGCCTGTCTCAGATATAATTGGATAGTGCTTTCTCCAAAAGTTCAGACTCTAGCTATGGGTCTCCCACACCACACAACAATACAGGTATGGGTTGATGAATTAGTGAAATATGAGCAGGAGGCTGGGACAGTTTCGACTTGAGCAAATACGGCCAAATCAGCTCACGAACTTAGCTTTCTTCTCCTTTCCCCCTTCCCATCATGTTGCTCCCTCTCTGTGATCTCTCCCTCCCCAACCACTTCTTCCCCGTTCTAGCCCTCCAACCCTAGTCCTCCCACTCAGACTCCCCCACCATTCTTTAGGAATAACTACTGAAAAAGGGAATAGCAATCAAATTTAAGTCAAATGGAGACTTTGTTTACTCACTTTAACATTTCAATGTAGCCATGGTTCTGGGGAAGCTGTAGATAGGTGATTCCTGGCTTCCCCACCCCACCCCATGCAACTTGATAACAATGCCACTTCCTCTGAGCTTTATTGGGCAATAGAGTATAAATATAAATAGCCAGTTCTTCTGTCTTAGTCTTTGCCACGGCATGGGAGTTTTCTGACTTCGCACAGAACTGACCTGACCTGTGAGGTGAAAGAAGTGGCTCTTTCCAGCTCTCACAGGGTGAGAATGAATGATAGGAATACCATCCCAGTGCTGGGATTTGGTACTTATGAACTTGGAAGTGTAAGTATAGAGAGGATTGGGGTTTGTGGGTGAGGGTGAGTTGGACACTGGAAGGGTAGATGAAGTGTGTTATTCTAAATCCCATCTCACCCCATAACACCCCAGTATGGTGCAGAGACTCTGGGGTAGAAATGCACAATTACATGTCAAGTACAGGATAGTGAATTTCTGTAGAAACCTGACACTGTAAAATACATCACATCTTGATGTTAACCATCACGGGGCCAGAGAGCCTGGAGTTGTAGTTCTTCCCAGGTTGGGAAAGACAGCTAAGGTGAGATCAGCCCTCATGGGAGGGAGAGGTTTTTCACTAAGCCCAGAGTTTGCAAAAGCTCCTGGATGTGTATGAGAAGAGAGGAGCATCAGTGGCACACAGTGTCTGCTGTATCTGCCTTTCCCATCTTTGAGACCATGACAGATGATTATTAAGTGGAGGAGCAGAGAGAAGGTGCACACCCTATCCAGGAGCTTGAGTGCTAAGAGAAAAACAGAGGTCCTGCTCCCTGCCTTACTTCTCCTTAGTCCTGTTTTTAAAAAATTCTACTGCAGAATATTTGCCAGATTTAATATTTTTAATTATTTTAATTATATTTATAAATTATATAAATCTTATGAACTATTATTATTACATAAAATCAATTTAATTTGAATTTAATTGTAACATTTTTTTTTCATACAATTTTTCACTGTAGTTGACTTGGTCCTTAACGTTGCCCAGTATTCCTTTGACTGAGGCTTGAGGACAAAAACAAAACCGCACTGGAGAGAAGGACCTTGCCCAGGGCAAGGCAAGGAGGTCTTTTAGCTCTGAAGGCATAAGCCCAAGCCATTTCATAATTACACTTTAAGTCACAAAATTACTATGAACGTGCACCATCCTTGAAGTAAATTTGTACCACAGGCAGTGCCTTGTGAGAGTAATGGTTGTACTCCATGGACAGATTACTTATTGAACCTGTGCGCCTTGGTTGGGGGGGGACGACATGAATGTTGGAAGATGTGTGGATGAGTTCCCCTGACTTCCTGGGAGGTGAGGAGAAGGGACAGCTTTATTTCAGATACAGGTGCAGGAAATGCAGGGTCAGCATGAGGGCATCTGGATATTGAAGGAGTCTGAGCATTAGGAAAAAAATGTGCAGCAAGCAAAGCTGTTTTGGGGAAGTATCCATGTTGCTGTGTGAATATTGCAGCTATAAGAGGGAAAGAGACAGAAAGGTAATAGCGGGGTTGTATTTTGCTTAACATGTGAGCACAGATGGGAGCCCTCCAAGAGAAAGAGGTTTTTTCCAGCCACATCCTTGTCTCTGCACATAGTGGTCTCCAGAGAGCAGGCAGTTCATTTCTTCCTTCATTCAGGATGGCAGGGCTCTTAAAGTACTTTGGGTTTTGTGGGGAAATAGCCCAGGTGAGGAGAGATCAGCAGCCACAGCTCTGAACCCATTCTCTCCCTAGGTGTCACTGTCTCACTGTCAGACATGCTTTGTCTGCCTCCTCCCCTTTAGTTCTGAGGTGAAACCAGGACTTTTGGGAGAACGGGGGGGGGGGGAGGAGCAGAAGAAGGGGAAGCAGTTGTTGTGGAGTGTGGCTAGCTGCACCAAATTTTATGATGGTTGAGGTTACATAGGGTGAAGGTCTGGACTTACTGATTGAGTAGCTGAGGAAGGGTACAAGCCAAAGCAGGACTACCCTAACAAGAAAATGGAACATGGTATCTGGAGACCTTCAGGCTAGGGAGAACAAGATGGAATGCCATTAATACTTTCTGGTCTGTTAGCTAAGACACTGCCCCTAATTTCATGAAACTCACAAACTAAAAGAGAAGTAAGACACAGACACAGAAAACTATAAATATACGTTATATGATACTACATTAGAGAGTTATACTGCGAAGAATTATGAGAAGTTTGAAGTAGAGATAATAACCAAGTGGGGAGAGGGAGAAATGGGATAACGGAAGGCTTTCTGGACAAAATGATATTTAAATGGAGCTTTGTGGTATGGTTAGGAATGCTGGCTGTTTGCATTGCTCTTATGTGTAATTCTTCTCCTGGGGTAGCTATATGGCTCAGTGGATTAAGCCTGGAGTTAGGAAGACTGAGTTAAAATCTGGCCCCAAGCACTAACTAGCTATGTGACCCTGGCCAAGTCCTTTAACCTGTTTTCCTCAACTATAAAATGGGGTTAATTATAGCACCTCCCTTCAAAGGTCCTTAGAATAGGAAGTCCACAAAGTATTCATGATAGCAAATCAAAGTTCAAGATGTGAGAAAGGAGTAATCATGGGACAGTCCTTCTCACTTTTTACATCAGCCTAGTGACAAAATTTGAATCTGTCTAGGACCTGGAGACATCATCAAAAGTTTGAATATTTTTTGTTCACAGAACTTCATGAAGTATTTTCTGCTAAGGAGTACAAGGTACTATCTGCATTAGACCCTGCCATACCTTCAAGCCAGAGATTCTCAGTGTTTTACCAAAAACCAAAAATTCACTGTTTTTTTTTTACCATAATCTATCCATAATATCCTTTTGGATTTATTTATTAAATGTATACAAAAGTAATAATATTCCCCTCCCAACTTCCAAAATATAATTTACATTTTATATAAATGTTTTAAAAATAAAACATTTTATTCTGCCTACACTTATAAAAATTCAAAACATAAAACAATAAAATACTAATTACAAACTAGTTAGTAATAGGTTATATTTTGTACAGACCAATCTGAAGGAAACAACCCAGCAATATTTCATACACTTATTACATTTATAAAACTTTGTGTTATATTTCTTTATTTTATAAATTTTGTTGAATATAAGTAACATTTTAAAAAGTAAGTTACAACTTGAAAGATGTTTAATATGATAATCAGATGTAAACAATGCAAGACAACCCTTTTAGTGACTCTTCCAAACCTTTTCATCCCTTTTCAAATCTCCTATGGCTCTTCCTCATCTACTCTCTCAGTTGAGAACCTTGCCTAACGTTTTACTAAAAAAATTGAGGCCAATTGCCTCTGAGACATCTTCTCCCAGTATTTCTTCTTGTACCCCTATCTCACATGAAGAGTTACCTTTCTCCTCAACAAAGCAAAGTCCTCTGTGATTCCATCCCATCTTTCACTTATCTTCAGCCACTCCTAGTCTACTGGCTGTTTCCTTACTGTCTACAAACATGCTTAAAAAAAAAGCCTCACTTGATCCTTACTAATTATTGTTCCACATCTCCTCTCTCCATCTATAATGTCTCTCTACTTCCTTTCTTCTCAATTTTGTTTTTAACGTGCTAAAATTTGACTTTCTACTTCATCTTTGAAACAAAACACTTCTAAGTTACTATTGACCTCTCAATTGACAAATCCATTTGTCTCTTTTTCAGTCCTCATTCTTCTTGACATCTCTATAGTCTTTGATACTGTCAATCACCCTTTTCTCAATGATACCTTCTGCTGTCTAGGTTTCCATGACAATACTGTCTCCTGGTTTTCCTCCTACCTGTCTGACTTCTCCTTTACTGAACTTCATCTAGGTAATGACCCCCACCACCCACTAACTATGGATGTCCCCCAGAGCTCTGTCCTAGGTCTTCTTCTCTTCTTCCTCTGTACTATTTTACTTAGTGCTCTCATCAGTTCCCATGATTTCCGTAATTAACTCTATGCTGATGATTTTTAAATCTACTTATCCATTCTAATCTCTCTGCTGACCTTCAGTTAGACATCCCTAATTGCATACTAGACACCTCAAACTGGATGTTCTATAGACATCTTAAACTCCACATGTCTAAAATTGAACTCATTTTCTTTTTTCCCAAAACCTCTCCCCTTCTAAATTTTTCTATTACTGTTGAGGGTATTGGACTTATAACCCAGGTGTCATTCTTGACTCCTCACTATGTTTCACTCACCATATCCAATCTGTTGCCAAAGTCTGTTGATTTTGCCTTCATGATATCTCTCACGTGCCCTTGTCCCTTCTCTGACAGTGTTATCACACTGATGCAGGCCTTCATCACTTCATGCCTGGACTGTTGATTAGGCTATTGCCTGCTGATTGATCTCTTTGCCTCAAATCTCCTTTTACCCCAGTCTATCTTTTACTCAGCAGCCCAATTAGTCTTCCTGAAGCACCAATCTGACCATGTCACACCACTATTCAGTCAACTCCAGTGGCTCCATATTACCTCCAGGATCAAATATAAAATATGGCATTAGAGGCTGTTTATAACCTATCCCCTCCCTACTTTTCTAGCCTTATACTTTATTCCCTCCACATTCACCATGGAGGAAACCCATGTGCTCTTTCCACCGGAATAGATCTCCTCAAAGTAGTTCTGGTGGCATTCTAGATTCCCATGAAGAATATCTCAACTTGTTTTATGTTCTTCAGATCCTTGCTCCATGCCCCCCCTGAATCATTTCTTCTCAGGGGAAAGCTCTCTGGCTGGTACATATGAACAGGACCTTCACTAGCTCTTTTATTTTCTTATGCTCCTCCTCATTTGGGAGTCTGATCACTTCTTACTGTCTTCTTAACTCCCTACAGTTCTGGCTTTCACCCAAATCATTCCATTGATGCTGCTCTCTAACCTGCTAAATCCAATGGCTTCTTCTCAGTTCTCATTCTCCTTTACCTTTGATGCTGTGGTTCACCCCCTTGATACTCTTTTCTCTCTAGGATTTCAAGACATCCCTCTCTCCTGGTTGTCCTCCCTCTCTGGCTGCTCCTTCTCAGTCTCCTCTGCTGGAAAC